TAGTTGCTGCTGCAACACAGTGCTAGACATCAGTAAACACTCCAATAAGCTTACTGGTGCACTCTTTTCGAGCCCTTTCCTTAAACTGGTTCCCATTTGCTCATTTCCTAAATGTTCTGTACAAGACCCCTGATGCGCCCCCCCCCCCCCCCCCCCCCCCAAGATTCAGTCCAATTACAAAAAAGGAAATAAGAGAATATCTAAACAAATCAGGGTACAAATGACTCCCTTCATCAGCCAAATTGAAGGTGACAACTGGCAGGCCAGTCCAGTGCTGGTTGGAGAGGCCATTGTGCAGTTTACTGGTGGCTAGCCCTCGCCTAATCTCCCATTTGCTGGCTCCCGTCTCCCAGTCTGTCACCCTGCCAGCAACATGGAATTTGCAGCTCCATTTGGGACTGCTAAAAAAGGCAAGGCAGCCCAAGTGGAGGAGGTGCAACCAATGGCGTCTGACCTGTCCAGTTGCTTGCTGTAAAATAAGGAGGTGGAAGGAGGGGGTAGGGGGTGACATAATGTTGCTTTCCTCCCCGTCCACCATGCTGCGCACAAACCTGTGAATATGGAACTAATCAACCAACGGCAGTCGCTGCTTAAGGGTCGGGAACGCCACGCTCCACAGTGCGTTTCCCAGGACAGAGTCCTCCGCCTGGAAGCTCTTGCTCCGCCTCAGCGAAGGCAAAGTGAGCGGCCGAAACGAGCGCAACAACAAACAAACTTCAGCAGCAACGACAGGCAGAGCAGGAGGAGGATGGAGGGAGAGGGGTGAGAGGAAAACCAAGCAGAGAATTCAGATCCTGTATGAGAGATGGGATTTACTACCCTTCCTAAAAAATAAATACTAAAAATCTTTGTTTAGTATTAGAAACCGAGCGTAAACAATCCGAAACTCTGTTGAGGGATGCTGAGAAGAAAGGCCCCCTCTGAGGGGTTTGTTTTTAACGGTTGTGTTTCCCATAATTCCTTCAGACGTTTCTGGATGTGCCGACTGCGCAACAAACATTTTCTCCTTCCAAAGCTTCTGCTGTAACCGAAGCGCCCTACAGCACAAACACCGGCTCTGCTCTGCATCCATGTTTCTAAAAACACCTGCTCACATTTTTTTCTGCCTCATTTGAATGAAAAACTTAGTAAAATCTCCCCGAGGCTGCAGCCATGTTTAACGTCAGCGAGAGTAAACCAAGCTGCTCGGCTGCTGAAGCATCAATCCCGTCGGAGCGCTTCACTAGCTTTTGGAGGAGCTCATTTCTCCTCCATGACGTTCGTGGCCCGCCACAAGACGTCTTCGTCAGAAGATTAGGTGGAAGAAACTAACCGCAGCTGAAAAGTAATAAACGCGTTCGCCGCAGAAACACTCGCAATATTAAAAAGAGCAGTTGGGAAATATAACTTCTCGATTTCAGGCACGAGGGAAATAACCCGGATTTGCTCTAAACAAAGGTGATAGAACTTCTGCACCAGAAAGCCAAACGACCATTTATTATCAACGCCCAATGCAGGCGCTTAGGTTGTGGACTTTGTGGGAAAAACTATCCCAAGAAGCACAGACCTCCATCATTTATCAATGCAAGAGAAGAACTTCACTTAAACCTCATGTTTCCAATATACAGGGTGGGCCGTTTCTATGGATACACCTTAATAAAATGGGAATGGTTGGTGATATTAACGTAGGTGAGGGGGCAAACTTTTCAAGATGGGTGGTGACCATGGTGGCCATTTTTATGTCGGCCATCTTGGATCCAACTTTTGTTTTTTCAATAGGAAGAGGGTCATGTGACACATCAAACTAATTGGGAATTTCACAAGAAAAACGTTGGTGTGCTTGGTTTTAACGTAACTGTATTCTTTCACGAGCTATTTACAAGTTTCTGACCACTTATAAAATGTGTTCAATGTGCTGCCCGTTGTGTTGGATTGTCAATGCAACAATGTGCCACAAACAGGACATTAATATCAACAGCCATTCCCATTTTATTAAGGTGTATCCATATAAATGGCCCACCCTGTAGTGGGCGGGGCCCAAGTGGTGGCAGAAAGTTCCAAAAACCTATTTGGTCATCTTACACTAATAAGCTAACACTCAGTAAATAGAGACATGACCTTGTATACTTTATAGAAAATCATAGTCTATGCAGACAAATTTAAGGCCAACAAATCTTTAGATAATTTGAATGCGGTCATATCCGGAACATTGAACTGAGATTTGTTGGTAGATACTTGAGCAACGTGCTCCCGAGCCAGACGCAGGCACCTAAAATGAGAAAGTACAGAATCGCGGTAGCGTGTTTCATGATGGGACAGCTGGGTGTATAAACAACTGAAGCATTGGTCGCTTTGTGTGTCGTGAGCTTATAAGTGGTACACTCGAGCTGTGTGAAGAGCTGCCATGCCAGGCCACACAATTACAAGAAGCAAAAACTTGATAACTTGTTTTAAAGGACTACTGTTTACTTTTACTTCATTACTAATGTGTTGAAGTAGTGCTACGCTTACTCAAGTGTTGCATTTCCGGCAGTAACGAAACGGCTGTGCTCCGTTTGTTACCTTTGAGGACGCACGGAGCTACAAAGTCGATTGTAAACAATTTGTGAAAACACTAATCTCTAGCCTCCTTCACAAGGTTATCCTGTAAGGGATGCGTTCAATGTCGTTCTTTTTATCCATCCTCTTTACTCGGCGTCCCCTAGCAACGCGAGTCATACTCTCCAGATGGCGCCGGGGGCCGTGGTTGACAGGCGGGTCACTTGTCAGACAAAGGCCGATGTGGGCCACAAGAAACAAGCTAAACCACAACATACTGAGGGTGAACTGTACCTAAGTGGCTGGGTTAGTATGTAAAGGTGCATTATGTAGAAATGAAGTAAAATTGACATCCTGTGGTAAAATTTGGTTACTGCAACCACTTTAAACATCTCTGGAGCTTTTTGCCGGCCGTCGTCAAAGAGTCAAAGACTGCACCTCTAACCAACAGCTTATTGGGTTTCAGTTATGGATTTAGCGTTACAGGGATCATGCGCCTGTTTGATGGCGGTAAATACAAAGCAGAATAATCTTCTCAAGCTTTTATCTGTCGGAATAGAAATGAGAGAGGAAGTGACCTTTGCTTTTATAAATATCGTTGTGGAAGACTTCCCATTAAGCCAATCACATTTGTTTATGGGTATGCTAGTTAGGGACCCCCGAGTTCAACTGTGCAGGTGGTTTTACATGGAGACGGGAGCTACGTCTGACATACAGAGAAAAGCATTCAAGGAGCAGTATGGAAGATTCTAGTGAGATTTTTATGGTGAGAAAACCCCAAAAGAGTCTAATGTTTCAGTTATTTTGGAAGGAGGGTTACACTGAAACTGAATACTGATGTTTCATATCCAGCTGGCTGTGGGGTTTTCAAAACAAACAAGGGAGGGGCGTAACTACTAAATACATAAACAAACTACTGTTTACCATCAGTGAGTGTGGGGGTGCCACGTCTCCTGCGAGCTAATGCTGCAGCGCCGACAATTGTAATTTTACGACGACCGACAAAAAGCTCCACAGCTGTTTAAAGTGGTTGCAGTAGCCAAATTTTTTATCACAGGATGTCCTTTTATTTCATTTCTACTTATTGCACCTTTAACTCAGGCATCTTTTTCTCGTCTCTGCTAGAGTTCTCTACTCACCCCCGCCAGCCACTGGATTGTTTAGGCTAGGTTGGACTGTATGCATGACAAGCTTCCCTCATGATGGACGGTGTCCCAACACTCACACGGGAACCCTGATCCACCTGCCTCGTTCTAACAAAACAAACTAGTGCTGGTCTCTTAGCCCCAAGAGCCGCAACATCACCATCAACCGCCCAAACGGACACCACATGATGCAGGATGGGTAGTTTTGGTCAAACGTTTCCCTTCCACTTGCTCATATCTAAATCCATACCCCCTCTTCATATCACTAAAGCGGTTGGGGGTGGGGTTGGAAGTGAGGGGGGTGAAATCACAGGACTCCAAAGACAGCTGCAGCTTATAAGGAATGTGAGGGGCCTCAGCCAAGAGCGCAGGCAGGGAAACCATACCATATATGGCAACAGAGGCAGAATCTAATTTTTATCAATGAGCAGTGCGGGCTGGAGAGTGGATTAACATGCAAAGGTTGATCTCCCATCCCTGACGGAGGATGGGGCGCGTTAGTTAGCTCCTGTAAAAACAGCACGTGGCCAACCGGGCCTCGCAAGTGTCCCGTCTTCAAAGAAGCACGCTCGAGGCTGTGTCAACAGTGGAGGGGAGTTGGGTTGTTCTGAAGGTGAGCACACAACGGTGAGCATGATGGAGCGTCTCTACGTCAAACTTTTAAGAGTTCGCTAAAGTTAAAACTTTATGCCAAAACAAACCCAATAAAAGTTAGAAGAGATTTAGCATTTTTAATTAAATCTAAAGTGAAAAATCCCCGCACTCAACGCAGCACAGGTTTAAGAATTAAACTGTTATCCCTGAACAAAGAAGAGCTCCATCCTAAAACGTAAAACAAACAGCAGGCTGTATGGTCCTCACCCTAACACAGGCCAGACCTGCGCTGATTTATGCTCAGGGGTGTTGGGAGGTTCTCATGGGTGAAAGGTCAGCGAGGTAAAGTGTAGACTGCTTGCTTCACTAAACCCTCCACATCTTATCTGACTCTCCTTTGGTCTGCAGGCCTTTGATGGACTAGAAAGTGATGAAAATCTAACGAGCCCAAACCAGAAACATACTACAAATCTGTTTACAAGAGGGATTTTTATTTCCACTGCCGTTTGTGGGTCTGATTTATTTGCTCCCTTGTCTGCTGGCCTTTTCTGGAGAGAGTTCCTATTCTATTCATTAGTAACTCACTACGGTGTTCCATCTTTCTTCCCTCAAACTCCCCCTGCAACATCTGTCTCCATTAGAGACTTGCTTGGTTTTAACAGAATCTATTTTGGGCAAAAACACTGTTGTTTATAGTTTAACAGCTGCCAGACATTACAGTCATGTCCCACTTCCTGTTCTCACCTTAGAGTCACCCATGGTCTCTGACTCGGACACCTGGTAGGTGAGATCCGTCTCCTCGAAGCCCATGGCGCTCATGCGCTGGTCCATGGAGGGGTCGGAGCGGGGCGGCGAGTCAGGAGAGTTGAGGCACGTTTGGATCAGGGCTTTGCCCGTTTCACTCGTGATCATGGGCTGGAGCTTTCGGGTTGCAAAAGTGTACACGTGACCCGTTTCGCTGGCCACGAGTAGCAAAACCTGGGTTCCCGTCAGGGTGGAGAGTTCATAGGCCTGGGAAGAGATGAATAACAAATAAATGTCATTTGATTTTGGTCAAATTTAGCTTTTGCTTAAAATGTGATTTATAGATAAACTGACATGGACACGGAAATAACTTGAAACGTACAAAAGTAATCAGACAAAATAAAATAACTGAAACTGTAAAACTGGCTTTAACTTAACGGATGGCACCCCTAGAAAAGACCATAAGAACACTTTAACAGACGGCTCCTTTAATCAGCATCAGGGGTGTTTGGTCTGTTTAAAGGCTAAAAAGTAGTCACAGTGCTGTTTGGTATCCGGGTGTGTACCACACTGGACATGGACCACCAAAAGCTGAGGGCAGAGTTGTCTCAGGAGAGTGCAAAGACAATTGTTGACCAGCATGTTAAAGGTAAAGGCTAGAAGACTATTGCCAAGTAGCTTAATGTCCCTCTGGCTTTAGTTGGACGTGTCATTCAGTGGTTTTAGGTCCACAGGACTGTAGACAACCTCCCTGGAAGTGAATGCATGAAAAGAAAAAGAAAAAAGAAAAACTGAAGAAAGGCTAATATGAGATGGATCAGAACAAAATACACAACTGTTTCAAATGTCCTTCAAACCTGAGACAAAGAAAGTTGATTTTCTGTAAATTCTTACTTTGGCCAGGATCAGTGTTTCAGGGATTAGGGATGTAAGAAAATATCGATATGGCAATATATCGTGATATTTTTTTCTAACAATATTATATCGATATTAAAAAAAACCGTGTATCGGAAAAATCGATATGGCAATATATCGTGATATTTTTTCTAACAATATTATATCGATATTAAAAAACCGTGTATCGGAAAAATCGATATGGCAATATATCGTGATATTTTTTCCTGTGATTATTACATCGATATTCAAAAGCCGTGTATCTAATTCTTGAAAGAATTTACATGCAAACTTTTGTGTATTTTCTTTTTGTTTTGTGCAATTCGATCGCCACCCGCTAGTTGGCAGCAGTGTGCAACAGGTTTTGTTTCCACCATTGAACTGTAACTTCCTCCATCATGGTTCAGATACTTCATGTTAAACATGTTACGTATCAGTTTGGACTGTTGAACATTCTTACAATAAATTCAGTAAAAAAAATGCTTGTAACATCTGACTGAATGTATCGCAATATATCGTGATATATCGTATCGTCTCCCCTGTATCGTGATATGTATCGTATCGCCAGAATTTCAAAAATACACATCCCTGTCAGGGATAATTGTGGGTTTTTTCACTACTTTAACCAGAAGGTACCAACAACCTTTTCCACATCCGCAGCTAAAGAAAAGTTGGCTTGCTGTACCTGAGGGGGAAAGGATCCAACACTAGAATCTATACATACTCCTGAGGTGAACTGTGACATATTCCACAAATAACACTGAAAAAGGAGATAAGATTCCCAGAATAGAGTGTGTGTGACAGAGTTGAGAGACAGCAAAGGTCTGGTCTGCAAAGGCAAAGGGGGGTGGGTGTAGTAAAACCACAGATGATGGAGGACATGAGGTAGCTGGTTCATTACACCACAAGAAAACGCAGTGAATCTAAAACCTGCTGAAATTCAACTCCATCCGAAAACACCCCGACACTGCACTCCTAACGAACTCCCGAGAAAGCTTTATTTTCTCCAAATGAGTCATTGGTTTTGCGGAGGATGACTCTGGTGCTTGTGAAGGCACGGTGCCATCACCGTTAGCTTGGCTCGCACAACAAAAGACGAAGTTGACAGATGAGCCGCTGTAAGCAGGAGTACAGCCTTCTGTCAGACACTGAGGAGATTAATCACATTCAAATTTAATGGGCAGCAATAAACCCACAAATGTCCTTATGTCCTCTGCAACACACATACCTTCTGAAACATCACCGTCTGTGCTGCATTCAAGTTTGATACGTAATAAGACGCCACGCCTCCTTTACTGACACCTATTTATGAGCCATGCACCAGCTACCTGGGGGGTCTACAGCAACACTGCCTCATGCTTGGCAAACCTCCAAAGAGGACTAGATTATTAACCTGCGTGTGCCATGCAGCAGCATAAACTAGACCTCCACTAGGCTTTAATACGTTCATCACCTCTGCCGACATTTACAAGCATTTACAGCAGCAGGTGTGGAGCAACTGTGCTGGGGTGCAACTGGTTTTTACCGCCCTGCTGCAGGTGCCAAATAATCCTGTTTGTTTTATTTACAAGTAATAATTGTTCAGGCATTGTCAAAACTTTGGCCTTATGAGAGAAGGGCTGCTGGTTTGTCTCCTGTTATATCACTTTGAAGAATACTAATATATGTATATATATATAATTGACTCCAGCTACAGGGGGATCACACTCCTGAGTCTCCCTGGTAAGGTCTATTCAGGGGTTCTGGAGAGGAGGGTCCATCAGATTGTCAAACCTTGAATTAAGGAGGAGCAATGAGGATATTGTTTAGTTTCATTTCCTTCAACAGGGACAGACACAAGTGCATAGACAAACAGTAAAACCACAGTCCCATGTTTGTAGCAAATTGCTTTAGCTATAGCTAATTTGCAGCATTTGTCCCTAGTTGGACTTTTACAATCATAAATTAAAGAGAAGGGAAAAAAAAAACAAATATACACAATAAAATCACAAGAAAGTTAGAATAATCAGTTTAAGAGATAGAAAAATGACAATGGAAAAAAGCTAATAACAGTTAACTCTATGAAACACGTGTGAAACGCTGCTGCTGGGACAGCCAGGATTTGGTTAGCTTTTTAAAAGCGTAAAAACCGGTGAGATTTCTAATTGACAGGAAGCATAGTCCACAGCCCTGCACCTTTCACTGACAGTGGTCCGGGCAAAGGTGGTTTTACGGTACGGTACCTTGCAATTTCCACAGCTGCTCTGGTGCAGCTCGTTAGCTTAGTCACACAGGGGTTTTGGTGCCATTTCATTGATGCACTTGTCATTTTAAAAACCTCAAATTAATAAAACTTGTGATGTTAAAAAGCTGTAAATTGACAGTAAGTTACAATGATGGTATCTAATTGGCTTTTTGTCTAGAATCTTCAGAGCCCGGTTATAAAGGCGTTCCAGAGGTTTACGCGTGGTCTGGTTAGCCTGTGACCATGCCGTAGCTCCCCAAGACAAAAGAGAACGTATTGAATTTTATTACAATAAGTTCAGTGCAAGATAAAAACTATAATAAAACAATCGGTAATACCGTCTGATGGAACGTATCGCAATATATCGTGATATATTGCACCGTCTCTCCAGTATCGTGATATATGTCGTATTACCACAATTTCGCCAATACACATCCCTCTTTCATACTATGGTCAATTTCACATTACATGGCCGATATCTTTGTTTTTTGATGCACCAAAAAAAGGACAATCAATGTATAATCTATTAAAATGTTCAAAATCAATCGCATTAATATTTAACGTTAATGCACTGATGAGGAACCTAAAAGGCAGAACTCTAAAGTAAGGAAGTAACCTTTTTTGTTTTTGATGATCTTCATTCCTTTGTTGTTTTAATCATGTTTTAATTTTGATGTGATTTTCTTTGAGGTGGTTTCTGTGATAAGTGTGATATCCATCTATCTATCATTATATATACACACACACACACACACACACACACTCAACAAAAATATAAATGCAACACCTTTGTTTCTGCTCCGATTTTTCATGAGATGGACTTAAAAATCTAAAATTCATTCCAGATACACAATATTACCATTCCTCTCAAACATTGTTCACACATCAGTCTAAATGTGTGATAGTGAGCACTTCTGCTTTGCTGAGATAATCCATCCCACCTCACAGGTGTGCCACATCAAGATGCTGATCCGACATCATGAGTAGTGCACAGGTGTACCTTATACTGCCCACAATAAAAGGCCACCCTGGAATGTGCAGTTTTGTCTCACAGCAAAATGCCACAGATGCCACAAGCATTGAGGGAGCGTGACATTGGCATGCTGACAGCAGGAATGCCAACCAGATCTGTTGCTCGTGCATTGAATGTTCATTTCTCCACCGTAAGCCGTCTCCAACGGCGTTTCAGAGAATATGGCAGTACATCCAACCGACCTCACAACCGCAGACGACGTGTAACCACACCAGCCCAGGACTTCCACATCCAGCAGGTTCACCTCCAAGATCGTCTGAGACCAGCCACTCAGACAGCTGCTGAAACAATTGGTTTGCATAACCAAACAATTTCTGCACAAACTGTCAGAAACCGTCTCATGGAAGCTCAACTGCATGCTCGTCGTCCTCATTGGGGTCTTGACCTGACTCCAACTCGTCGCCGTAACAGACTAGAGTGGGCAAATGCTCACATTCGATGGCGTCTGACACGTTGGAGAGGTGTTCTCTTCACGGATGAATCTCGGTTTACATTGTTCAGGGCAGATGGCAGACAGTGTGTGTGGCGTCGTGTGGGTGAGCGCTTTGCTGATGTCAATGTTGTGGATCGAGTGGCCCATGGTGGTGGTGGGGTTATGGTATGGGCAGGTATCTGTTATGGACGAAGAACACAGGTGCATTTTATTGATGACATTTTGAATGCACAGAGATACCGTGATGAGATCCTGAGGCCCATTGTTGTGCCGTACATCCATGAACATCACCTCATGTTTCAGCAAGATCTGTACACAATTCTTGGAAGCTGAAAATGTCCCAGTTCTTGCATGGCCAGCATACTCACCGGACATGTCACCTGTTGAGCATGTTTGGGATGTGCTTGACCGGCGTATACGACAGCATGTACCAGTTCCCACTAATATCCAACAACTTCGCACAACCATTGAAGAGGAGTGGACCAACATTCCACAGGCCACAATTGACAACCTGATAAACTCTATGCAAAGAAAATTTGTTGCACTGCATGAGGCAAATGGTGGTGACACCAGATACTGACCGGCTCTGAGTTCCCAGACCCCCAATAAAGCAAAAACTGCACATTCCAGGGTGGCCTTTTATTATGGGCAGTATCAGGTACACCTGTGCACTACTCATGATG